AAAGGAAAGAAAAACAGCAACAAAGGAAAAAACCCCTCTTGTTTCCATTTCCTGGAGTTCATTTTGATAAATATTATTAGGTAGGATCAGAGGCACATAGGCATTGCGCCTTTCTGTTCCTCTCCCAAGAGTATGCTCCTTGGGTCTAACTGGGTTTGAATGCCTGGAGTCCTATATAATTTATTATGTCTCAGTATATTTTAGATCTAGCTTCTACTCGTGAGAGAACACATGTGCCTTTTTGTCTCTCTGAGCTTGGCTTACCTCACTGAACATAATTTGTTCTAAGTCCATCCATTTCCCTGTAAATGATATCATGTTGTTCCTTCTAATTGCTGTATAAAATTCTGTTGTGTATGGGTACCACTCGTCTATTGTAGGGTCCTTACCCTTTCTTGATCTGTATTTCTCACACTCATGACCAGCCTCCATTTCTTATTTCTATCCTCTCCCAATAATGTTTCATATCCTCTCTGTAAAATTGCTTCCTGTCTTTTTCCATGTGATGTATCTCACTTGTAGCACTTCTCAAGTGGTTTTCACTCCTCCATTTTCTCCCAGAGACCAGTGGCTCCTTGAATAGAGACATCATGTCCTGTACACATTCCTGTATCCTAGTTTCTGCCTGACTCCTTACACACAGTGACTGCTGCTGGTATTGCTCGAAAACCCTGACCCACAAGAAAGAGTTATTTCCAGTGGGGTCTTTAACATTAGTCTTTGATCATTGTGATAATTAAGAGAACAGTTCTCTTTTGTTAAGAGCTCTGTATGAATATGCCTTTGGGGGACTGTTGTAGAAGTTTGCAGTTTTTGTGAGGTCTAATATTACTCTCTTTGGTGCCTCTTAGGTAAGCAAGAGCTCCTCAAGGAAGTATCAGTGTTTGATAACAAAGTAAATATACCATCTGGATTTAGCCATCTTTGCGTCTAACTTACTCCTCTTCCTCTTAAGACCCAGTTTTGTGTTTCCAGTAATTACCAGCGATCTGAGAGTAAACAGAGTGGGGAATTTGTGAAGTGTTTTACACTTTGTGGCAATATCTTTGGAAAGCATTGCTCTGGTTTTAGAGAAATGAGACCGTTAGATAGTATGCTTACCTGCACATTGACAAATGAAGACAGCCTTCAGGGGAGAGAGAAAATAAAATAGAGTTGGTTTATAGTTTGCCAGTCCAAAAGCTTTTAAACTGTACCTTTAAAGGCAGAGCCCCTTAATATGTACTCTGCATTTTGGGTATCACTGTGTGGTAAATGGTATAAATTTAGTCCCTATAAGCCTGATCTCTTGGGGATGAGATTTAAAAGTGTTGGAATGAACTTTATTTGAGAAGACGCTATCGATTAGGCTTTGATTTGGGCTTTTCTTACCAAAGAATGATACTAAATAATGACTAGCCTCCCTGTTTTTTGTTGTTGTTTTAATTCACTTTATTCTCTCTCTTCCTGCTCTCATTCCCTGCCTTCTATTTCTAACTGTTCTTCTAAAAAACAAAGACCAAGGTGGTGTGAGACAGGAGAAAAGAGGGAAATAAAATCAACTGTCTCATCGTGAACATAATTGATTTAATAAATAAACGTCTTTCAGTTCCCAAGGCAAACCTCAGATCTTCACTAATGTCAATTAGTGTTCAGCTCAATACGTGGCAGTGGTCTTAATTTAGAAGGATGGGAGAGTTCACACATTCTTGCTTTCCAAGGAAGGAGTGTGCTTTTCTTGTTCTAAAGACAGATTGTACACATTTACTCACTACTGTACAACAAGTTTGAAAAGGAATTTATGTGACAGTTTCTGTTCTTTCCTCCTCAAAGTAGGAGAACAGTTGATTACATTATATTGGGGTTTGTAGAAACTAAAGCTGAGAAAGGTAATAGAAGTTCTCTGGACTCCACTAGTGTGCAAACTCTGTAAGGACAAGGCCCTTGTCTTGTTTGCCCAACATTTAATTTCCAATGCAGATAGTAGCTGCATAGTAAGTGTTTCTTAATTGGATTTGTGGCTGAGTGAATGAGAATAGAAATGAGCATTAGCTGAGTCTTATGATTTGGTGAAATTAGTTAAACTTTTTTTGTATTTCCTTTAGTTGCAAAAAGAAATTGCCTGGCTTACTTCACTTAATATATTTTTTTTCCAGTCTTTCCATTTCCTAACAAATGGGGCAATGTCATTCTTTCTGATGGAGGCATAGAAACATAGGTCCCATGGTTTCCCTTATTTGCAATAACTAGTATATGTCTGAGTCAAGCAGAAAAGGTCAGATAAGTTGATGTTAGGGGAATGAACCCCAAAATAAGTATTCAAATGTTTTTTTTTCTTCCATACAATTGTTTCTAACATATTTATAAGATGATTTCTTTGTTGCTTTGTATGTCCCTCCCCCATGGTATAACCCCAGCTTTCACTGTATTTGATGTTGGTATAATTTGTGGAGGGAAAGGGCAAAAACAAATGGTTTAACTAAGGATACAGGTGGACCCATTGCAACAATGAGATGTACAAGTCATTAGGTCGAAAAATGAACTTTACAACTTTGGTGGGGCGGGGGGAAGACTAGGTAGAGGGAGGTGAGGGGAGTATGGGAAGGGATGGGAAGGGGAAACAAAGAGGAGGCAACAATGCTTGGTAAGAAATGTATTCATTATCTTGCCCATGTAATTATAACCCCTCTGTTGCCATTCTACAAAGGCGTTTATGAATACAATATATTTTGATCAGTGTCACCCCTTTAAAAGTTCTCACCCTCCCTCAAAGTCCAATCCTTTTAGAGGAAACTAGCTTAAAGAGTACAATATACATTATGTAAAAGATGATTAAGGAGAATATTTCATCACTTCCTAGCTAAGTGAGTTGCAAGGAATCTCAGAGGTGACGCTACTTGCAAATTCTTCTGTGTGTGTGTGTGTGTGTGTGTGTGTGTGTGTGTGTGTGTGTGTGTGTGTGTGTGTGTCTGTCTGTGTGTCTGTGTCTGTCTGTCTGTCTGTGTGCACGTACCAGTACTGGGGCGTGAACTCATGGCTTGGATATTTTTTTGCTCAAGGCTGACTCTACCACTTGAGCCACAGCTCCACTTCTAGCTTTTTGGTGGTTAATTGAAAATGAGTCTTTTGGATTTGTCTGCCTGGGATGGCTTCAAATTGTTCTCACATCTGTCTCCTGAGTAAGTAGGATTACAGGAATGAGCCAACTGGCGCCTGGTTTGCTGGTTCTAGAGCATACATTCATTGTGTCTTAGCATCACAGGAAGCATGTTTTAAGTCCAGATACTGGGCTTCAGCACTGGAATTTCTGTTTGAGTCATTGGTAGGGGCTGGCGTCTCAGTTTGCTTCTGGAGTTTACCTCGTCTTTCTGGCATACAGCTGGGTATAGAAGCCAGTCCAGTTTGCCTCACAGTATCTGTAAGTCCAAGGCAGTCTTGGTAAAAATGAGTAGCCTAAGGAACCCACCAGAATGTCTAGTGATACTATAACTAGGGCTCACATCTCCTGGCTCTGATCACAGTGCTCCTGACCCTATAGTTGGCTATTTTAGTTCAGTGGACCTCCATCCTCCTTGGCCTCTCTCAAGGTCCCTCAGTGCTCTTCCTTCTAGTATAGGGGCAGTTTTTAGGGTGATGGCCCTGGCAGAATCTTAAGGACCTTCTGAATCATATCTTGTTTCATGTTCATTACATGTATTTTATTGTTTCTCTACTGATGCTTTTCGTTATGCCACATCCCCTTCTCTTGGCTCAAAACAAAACCCAGGAGGAAGTACCTGCCTTTCTCCTGCAGGCCCATTCCTCATTTCAGGTTCATTCGCACATCAGTCTAAGAGAACCACTCAAGTGTTTATTAAAGGTAGAAAACTCTGGGGCCTGCTTGAGGGCTATATAATCAGCATCTTCTTGGGAAGATCCTCGGAAAATGTATTTTAAATTCCCTTCATTATTCTTCCTACTATTCTGCAGTCCTGAGAACAATGAGTCCTTTTCCCACTGTTTGAGGTTCTTAAGACCCTATGTCATAATTATACTTAAGTCCTCTGACTTGTAGCTCCTTCCATGTTTTTGTGAACATCAATTAGTTGTACAAGAGAGTTTTATTTTGACATGTTCACATATGCATACAAAATAGCTTGAGCACATTCACCCACTCTTATCTGTCTCCCCGCTTCCCCAAACCACGCAGATAGGCAGGCTGGTATGGACAGTCATGGAATGAGAGGTTCAGATAGGCAAAGGGGGCCACTGAACATTGGGTGGGGTGCTGTGTGTGTTCCCTGCCTAACAGCTGTATATCCTGAGTGAATGTATTAAACCTGCTTGACTTTTTGTTTCCTCACCAGTAAAGTGGGGCTAACAATAGCACTTTCAGCTGGGTGCCAGTGGCTCATGCCTGTTAGCCTAGCTACTCAGGAGGCTAGGATCTGAGGATCATGGTTTAAAGCCAGCCTGGGAAGGAAAGTCCATGAGACTCATGTACTATTAACCACCAGAAAACTGGAGGTGGTGCTGTGGCACAAGTGGTAGAGCACTTGCCTTGAGCTGAAGAGCTGAGCGACAGCGCCCAGGCCCAGAGTTCAAGCCCCACGACTGACCAAAAAAAAAAAATAGTACTTTCTTAGGAGTTTTGTGGATATCAGGTAAGGTGGATTCAGGGATGTTGTTCAGAGATAAAGATTTGCTTGTGGGGTGTATTGGACATTGCTCCCAAGGCAGTTCTGTGAAGATCTTGGCCACCTTTAAGTTGTTTAACTTCTCTGAGGCTCTTTTCTTATGATTAAAACTGGTGCTAAGTTGTCCCCTCTCAAGCAGATCTGAGCATGTGTAGAGAAAGTATACCTGAAACTGCTGGGTAAAATATAAAATTGGAGATATTATAAAGGTTAACTATGAGTCTACTTTTCTGAAATGACTTTGTGGCCAGAACCTGGATTTCCTGAAGAGAGAAGGTTGTGATAAATGCAAAAGGGCGTGTCTATCAAATATAGCATTTTCAGTTTTCTTTCTTCTCTCTACAGGGAATTAGAATAATGGAGATGCTGCTAAAAGAACAGTGTGGTGCTCCCTTAGCTGAATAAAGAATCATCAGTGAGTACCAAAAACAAGATCAGAATTATTCACTCAAGTCATGTTTTTGGCTTTATAAACCTGGTATTATGTATCAGTCTCCCTGGGCAATTCACACAGCACATTTCTTAGTTATATATACAGCACATGATTGCACAGATGTTTTCTTATCTGCTTAGTACCTTTAGTTACTTGGTTCTTTGATTTTCAGAGCAGTTTTGTACTTATGTGATGGTTTACAACTTCAAATTGCTAAAACTGTTCAGCATAATCTACCATGATTGGGACCCTGAAGGTGGCATAGATTTGTAAAGATTTCAGCTCAGGATGAACTGAAGCTTTCTTTTATTGTTCAAGAACAATGAAAAGAGAGATTTAAGCTATAATTGGAGCAGGAAGGATAACAAGAAAGGAACATATTGATTGGCCTTATATCTTGTCAGTCTGGAAACTAACATGGAAAAGCTCAATTATAAAATGCTTCAAAATCAGAAACTTTTTGAATGACAACATCATGCCACAAATGGAAGTATTCTTCCTTGAGCTTCTGTTACTGGAACTATCAAGATACAGGTGTGTTGAAAATACTGTCTAAAGTTACCTTTGGCTATCAGTATATGGTGTCGATGAAAAATAAGGGAAGTTTGTGTTTAAACTTGGGTCCTATTCTGGGTTACATTCTCAAGTTCATTTACATATTGCACTGTGTATATGCAAATACTTCAAAGTCAGAAAAATCTCCAAATCCCACACATTTCTAGTCCTAAGCAATAGTCAACACTGAGGACCAGCTCAGGGCTGGTCCTCTACCACTTCATCCACACCTCCACTTCTGGCTTTCCATTGGTATATTAGAGAGAAGCATCTCATTGACTTCTATGCCTGTGCTGACTTTAAACCACAGTCCTCAGATCTTAGCCTCCCGAGTTGCCACCGGCATCCAGCTAAACCTTAGTTCCTTTGTTTTGACTGGGGAAGAATTCAAGCAATACATAAAACATAATGAAAATTATATATGAGCATTTCTTTGGCGGGAACTCTGATAAGCAGGTTGACACATGAAGCTATGTAACAGACATGCCTCTGCCTATCTGTCCAAGTTTGTTAGGAGGGCTGCATACATATTGCTCTTAAGTTGTGGGCACCATGGGGCCAAAAAGTCATCATCGGGCTATGGCTCCTGTCCTTGTGTGTGGGGATGGGAGTTGGGGGGGGGGGAACTCTGCTTTGTTGGATAAACTTTAGTTATGCAGACCTGCATAAGTCAGTTAGCCCCAGGAATTTTTCAGCATATTTTTCTTAAAGTGTTATTGTTGTGAAGGTGTTGCACAGAGGGGTTACCGTTTCATAAGTTCAATAATGAGTACATTTCTTTTATGGACAATGTCACCCTTTCCTTTGCTTTCCCTATTTCCTCCTCCTGTCCCTGCCTAAAAAGCATCTTGATTAGCTCTCTTTTGGTGGGTCTGATTTGATGAGCCACGGGATGATTTCTTGGAAATGCAGGCAAGGCTGCTATGGGGGAAGATTTTGTTTCTAGCGGTGACAGAGTGACTGGGGACAGTGCCTCCACCAGTTGCTCTGCAGCCAGTTACCCTGTACTGTCTAGGTGGCTCATCTTCTTAGCATTGTCTGTCATGGCCTCTAGCTGGAAGCCAGTCCATACCAGCATTACCTCCAGTTTAGAGCAAATGATTCAGTATTAACAGATAACAGGCAATTGCAGAACTATTCAGCTCCCTTTATCATCAGGTTCTGTTGTCAACACTTGAGAGAATGCCCTTGTACTAGAAAAGATAAAACTAAGTTATTTAAGTGAGAATATAGCCCAAAATGAAAGTGAATGATGGTTTACTATATACATATATATATATGTATGTCTATATATATATATATATATATATATATATATATA